GATGGCGTAACGTACGGGAACAAGTGTGCCTTCTGCAAAGCAGTTCTGTAAGTGAAAGCAGAGGGAGTCAAAATGACAGGTAGAGCTGTCTTGATTCCCATGTCTGTAATGCTGGTCTCCATGGAGGGTGGCCCCGCATCCAGGCTGCTCCTCTTGTACAGACCAGCCCCTGGTCCCTCAACAGGAGGAATATTTCCTCCTTGGAACAGAGCTGCATGCATGCAAGTTAATTTTAGATCATTTCTAGGCTTTGTATGATGTTGATTACAATGCAGAGAAACAGCACAGGGTCTGGGAGGTAATTGCACCTGCCTATACCTCCTGCATGGACTAAATCGCTGCACATCTTCCTCTGTGTACCAGAGGCTGAAACTCCCTGTCCACACCTCTGGATGCAGAAAAGAGTCTGGAGGAACGCAGGGGGTGAGATGTGCGACATTATGAGTTGAAAGTTTGAATGGACTTTGTGGAACAAGGCACAAAATCTCCGAGGAAGAACTGGAGAGCCTCTGTTTCCTGTGCTCTGTCTCCTTTTAAAGGAGATGTAATAGGAGTCAGCACCTCTGGACTGAGTGGACTTGCAAAACATCAGTTTCTCCTTATCAGTCCTTAACATTTGGTGCACTCTGGAGGCTGCCTTATCCTAGGGGAAATTAGAGAGGAGCAGGGAGAGGAAAAGATGGCTTGATGCTCCCTGTGAGGCCCTGGGGTACTCTAGCATGAACCAGGCAAATGGTCCTGTTCGGGTGGATGAGCTCCCTGTCCCATGCTGCTGTGCTCGTGCTGTCTGTCATATGCTGCTTTCTCTGAGTCTGTCTTGCTCCTTTTACAGGAGGAGTGGAGGGAAAATAAGGTTGAAGCACATGGGGAAATGCTGAGTCCTCACCATCTCTGAGCACCGAACGTTGATCCCCCTTCAGCGGCGGTCACAGTGCCTGGGCATGGCAGCAGCTTGTCCTTGTCTCCTCCGTCTCTGCTCAATAAAACAAAACTCAGCAGAATTATTTGGCTGGATCTTTTTTTTCCATAGCACCTTAGGAAAGTGCTTCCATGCAGCCGTGCCAGCACTTACCGTGCGGCTTTGCTGCGCTGAGCTGTTGCATCACGCAGGCGGGAGCAGCGATTCCCACGGCCGTGCCCTCCTCCCCGCACTGCTGTAGCTCCTCGGTCCTGTCCCCCTGACACACAGACATGTGCCTGCTGGGCACTGGGGGTGGCATCATGAACCTTTGCTCTTCATCAGCATCCCTGGGTGTCCTTCTTCTCCTTCTTCTTTGTCCTGAGAAGGGACTTTGAGTTAAAAACTGTGAACCCACCAGCATTAGCTTCCTGTTCTCATGCTTCTCATGGTAATAAAATTGTATTTAGAAGAGCACAGATTGTGTAAGTGTCAATAATTAAAAAGAAAATTCCCCAAAGGAGAAAAGCTGTGGGTTTTCTCTCACCACCTCCAGGATAAACTCCCCCTGAATCACACATACCCCTTGGTTTTTCAGGGACAAGAATTTGTACTTATTTATGGAGGGGAAGGCACACAAACTTTACTCCTTTCTTTACTTTTCACACCGCTGCACTCTCTCTTCTTGATGCTGGTTGGAAAACCCTTCTTTGTGCAAACGTGAGAAAATTAATTCTATAGTCTCTTCCCATTCACTGTGTAAAATCCACACAGGGAAATACCTGTGGCATCCCCTTGTTAAAACATTGGCAGCAGATCAATCGGACACTACTTTCTTAATGTTAAACACTTACCCTTCAAAGGGAGCTTTAGATTTTATCATGAGCCTCAGGGGTCAACATATTTTGCAAGCAGCTGGGCGCTGAGCATCTCAGCCTCTGGATGGTGTTTGGGCAGAGCTGGAGTGTTTGCCTCTTGTGCCACAGCGCAGGCTTTGAACTGAGCTGGGGCATAGCGCTCTATAGCCGGGGAGAAAGCCCTTGTTTGGCTCCAAAGTGTTGCTTTAGTAACTCAACAGCAAGGCGTCCAGAGCATGGGAAGGGCTGAGGGGAGGGAGAAGCGCCTCCTGCACAAGGATGGGTGGTCACCAAGGACACGGCTGGGGGACTGGAAGGACCTTCCTCGTCCTTCTCCCTGCCTGGAGCTGGATGACCATGTCCTATCCTGCCTGAGCTATCCTGTGGTCTATTTTGGGACTCTGGAGCAGCACCGTAGTCAGGTCACAGGAGCAAAAATACTGTTTTTAAGAAAAAAAAATGATGTTTTAATAAGAGAGGATATGGGACATCTCTATGCCTGAGGTGGCTCTCAGTGACTCCAAAACCTTCACAGCATCTCCCTGTACCTAATCCTTTTTAATCTGAAGGTTGGAACAACAAGGACAGAGCACAAGAGAACAGAAGCTGTGAGACTTCTCTGTTCGATAATCATCCTGTATTTTGCTGTCAGTGCAAATAGTGAATAGAAACACCTCTGCACCCCTACAGACTGAACCACCATCTGCACCACCTCTGCTGGCAGGGTGGAAAAGGGGTCCAAGAAGTCATGAAACTATTTCCCCATGCTGATATGGGTCTACAAGTGCCTGGGGCAGGAGCAGGCACAGCTCGCTGTCCTTTGGTCCGTCACAAAGGCACCTGCTGGCTGCAGAGGACAAGCTCGGGGTGAAGACTCAGTTCTTGGGGATTCACAGCGTTGTGCAAACCCAGGTGACATTATGTCCGTACAGAGCAGATCTTGGTAATCACCCAGCTACTCGTAACTGTAATCACAGAACACAATTGCACCTGGAAGCATAAAGGCAAAGCGATACCGGGAAGTTCCTCCTGATGGCCCCGGCCGTGCGGTTTTGGCAAGACTTGCCAAGGGAGGGGAGGGTGCTTGCAGCGTGCGTGCCTTTGTCAAGGGGTGCGTGACGTGAGAGCCCTGACAGCTGTTCCCAGCCCTCAGTCCCAGGGTGCCAAAGGTTGCTTTGCTGTAATTTGCTAAAGAGAGGGGCTGTGAGACACCCCTCCGACCTGGCTAGAGGAGATTTCCTGGGGGCTGCATTTAACCCTCCATCCTGGAGGTCTTTACATATTCCTTGGGTGCTTGTCCTGCCTTTAGGACTTTCCCAAGGCCTGTCCCTTTCAGGACAGCATGGTGAGCAGGCGCTGTGCTCCTGTCCATGCAGGAAAACACCGTGCTGCTCAGGGCGTGATGGGTTCAGCAGCTGCCAGCAGGAGCAGAGGGAGCCAGCAGCAGTGGGGTGGGCAGGCAGGTGCCACGGGCCCCAATGGGGACACAGCCCCGGCCTCCACACCAGGCTGATGGAGGTGTCCTCCCCACGGAGAGGCCAGGAGAGGCAGCACTACATCGAGCGAAGGGTCCCTGCCCTGTTTGCTCTCCGTTTTGGAGCATGGCACTTGCTTTCTCCGCAGGATGATGGGTGCTGGGGACAGAGCAGGGCTGCAGCTGTGGCCGCAGCTGTTCGGGCAGAGCTCACTGCTGTGTCCGGCCTCGGTCCCAGACACGTACCCAACCAGAAACCAAATGTTCAGCCAGTATTTTTCCTTTGATTTCCTTCCTCCACATTTTAAGATGTGAGATTATTATTTTTTGTTTGTTTTGTGTATTTTTTTTTCTTGGTTTTATTTGACAGCTTTGAAAGATGAGTGAGTCATGAAACACTTGAGATCTCTCCCCTATTAGATAACACGAGCATCTCTGCATCTCTGCAGCTTTTCCTCTCCCTGGGGAGGGAGGTCCTCGGGCACGGGGCCGAGGCTGGGGTGGGAACTGCCCCAGCACCTCGGTGGCTGCCAAGCCCTGCTGCTCACAGGGGAGCCCCGTGCTCCCTGCACCAGACCCAGCCCCCTCTGCAGTTAAAATAAGGAAGAATTACATCCTTGCATGGTTGCTCTAGCTGAACGAGAGATACTGCTGGCAGCTGAGCACCCTGCTGTGATCGGGCTGCCCCCGATAGAGGGGAAGGATGCATTTCCATCTCGCAGCTCCGCTCTGCTAGTGGTGCGGCTGATATTTGGTGTGCCCAGGCTCTTGGCCCATTTAACTGGTGTGCTCCACCGCTCCCTCCTCCTCCCCAGCACGGGCACGTGGCCCCGTCATAACTCAGTCAAATCCTTTGTCCTACTTCTTTCTTTGACATTCACAGCGTTTGATGAGGCTTTTTGAGCTGCCACGGTCAATTTGAGGGTGACGGTGCTGGCTGCAGGGTTTCCAGGGCCAGGCTGGGGAGGGAGCTCTGGACTCGGTCGTCCTTCCAGTTCACCCTCTTCTCCCCATGAGGAGGCAGTCCGGATCAAGATAGGTCAGAAGGGACTTTGGGAAGTCTCTAATCCAGCCTCCTGTTACGGCAGGGTCAGTTCTGAGGTTAGAGCAGGTTGTTCTGGGCTTTATCCTGTCTAACCTTGAAACCCTCCAAGGGTGGAGAACACAAGATCTCCCTGGGCTTGGTCCCAGGGTTTGGTTGTCATCACAGTGAGGAAATTTTTCCTTGTCATGTCTCCATTCTGAGCTTCTTTCTTTTCAACTGCCTCTTGTCCCCCAGCCCTGCACCGCTGAGAAGCCTGGCTCTGTGTGCTCGGTAAACCCCTCGCAGGGATGGGTATGGGCCATACCACCTCCAAAATGTTCTTCTCACCACCCAGCCCACCACCCTCAGCCTCCTCTCACAGGGGCTCCAAGCCTCCAGTAGTATCGGTGGCTCTCCACTGAGCTTACTCCCATTTTTCATCATCTGTCTTGTGTCAGGTGAGGGCAAACTGGAGGGAAGGCTGAGTTATGGGGCCAGGAGAAATAATTGCTCAGGAGATGGGGGGAGAACTGTACTGTAGGGGACTGAAAACACGTAGGTGGTGACAGATGCAAGGAGCAGCATGAAGGGGTCAGCGTGTGTTGGGTCCTTTGGGGATCAGAGAGCAGCTGAGCCTACTTCATGGCTCCCAGGTGCTGTGGATCAGCCATCAGTGCCCTCCACCCCAGCACCACTGAGGGAGTTAAATAGGGGCCCAGAGGAAACAGATAGGCTTTTTTTTTTGCTGATTGCAGAGCAAGGAGAAGGTGAGTGTCTTGCTTTGGGGGTGGTGGTGGTGAGATGGATAGGTAAGGGTTTTTGTGTTTTCCCCCTTTCCCAAAATAAGTAGTGTGGTTTAGGAGTTTCTCATAGGAGTAGCTGTGGTAATGGTGGCTGGTGTTGGTGTCTTACAAATTTGCTCTGAAAGTGCTGGAGAAGTCTCCTAATGATGCATGTGGGTTACCACAACACATAAAGGGAGACCAGGGGGATGCATAAGATATATTTCCATAGAAAGGCAGGTGTCACACACAAAAAGCTGCTTGTTTTAAAGCTCCAGTGATAAGATGCTTACAGGTAACTCTTTAGCTTTAAGGTTCTCAGCACCCATGGGGCACCAAGGGGCCAAACCTTCAACAGGATCATCTCTGGGGGGTACTGGATGGAGCAGGGCTCTGGCAGAGCCCCAGCCCAGATCTGAAAGATAAGTTCAAAGCTGAGCTTCTGACTGACCTAAGGCCAAAGCCAAGGAGCAGTGTTAGTGGCAGGGCTTTGTTCCCAGCTCGGGCAGCGAGGCTTTCCCACGGAGGTGAGAAACGTGGTGGTGCTGCGTCATGGGGTGCTTCCCCTTCTGAGCCGAAATTGCTCAATTAATTGGGAGTGAACAGAGATGCTGGTATTGTGGCAAGGGCTGGCTGAAGCGGCTCTGACTTTCTTCACCAAAAAAAAAATAAAAATCCCTTTGTGCTTTTCTCTGGGAGGGTGGCTTCTGTGGAGTCACCTGTGATAAAAGCATCGGCTGCTCTGCTGCCCAGGCCCTGCCCTGCAAACACGGGGATTTTTGTCATCTAGCCATACCGGAATTCTTATCCACAGCCACATCCAGCAAGCAGGTGCTCGAAATGATGCTGTCCTATTAAGAAAGAGCTGAAAGGGACTTCAAAAAGCTTCCGGAGCCGCTTCCCAGCCCCACGCGGGGACTGCTCTGCCCAGGGCATCCCCACCAAGAGGCTGCAGCCGGTGGAGCCCGGCTCGTTCCCGGCTGCCGGGCTCCCTCTCGTGGCTGCTGGGCGCACCAGGTGTCCCCCCTGCATCTTCCTGGGGTCCTCATGCTGGGCAGGGGGGTGGCCGGACCCCAGGTGGGAGCTTGCTTAAAACGGGAGGGGCCGACAGCCGAGCTGTGCGAGAACTGCAGCAGATTTATTCAGCCGCAGAGACTCAGGGCTTTGTTTTACTGCACCAGGCAGCTGCTCTTTTCAGGATGGGTTCCTATTTTGCTGAGCACAACAGTTGTTCTTGGTGAATTATGCAGCTTGGTGCAGGAAGGACATGGCACTGAGCTGTCCTGGCAGACTGCTGCCTGCCTTGGCTCTCCCTCCTGGCGGTCCTTTGGCCCCTCTTTGGAGGCTGCTGTTGGAATAGGGTGCTCTGACTGGGTTTCCTGGGCCCCTGCAGAGTTTGTTGCCTCTTGTCAAAGAGCTCAGGGACAGAATGTGGTCTCAGAAGGTCTCCTTGATGTTAAAATAATATGGTGATAATCAATGACTTGCTTGGCCTGAGATGGTTCAGCCTGCTGTCTTCAGCCTGCTCCCCCAGGGCATCGCTCACCTCTACTGCAGGCATTGGAGAAAAAAAAGTCAGATGAAGCTGAAATTAGCAGGAGTTTGAAGCTTTGATGTGGGTAATATATATCGGTTCTGCTGTTGCTGGTTGCAGGTGATGAGATTTGCCACAAGCAGTGGGACCCCAGGTGTGACACCTGCTCCACTTTTCACTAGATCCATCTGAGGCTTGGGCTCTGAAGCTCTTTCTCTCTGTGCCAAATGAGACCACCACTTCATACCTTTGTATGGGAGCAGCCCTGGCATCGTGCAATGCTAGTGTGTTCTCTGCACCGACAGGATCCCAGCACCCTGCTGCTGATGGTGCCCTGCTCTTTGCTGGTGCTACAGGGTCCTGCCAGCCCTGTAGCATCACCCAGGGCTTGGTGACATCTCTCCAAGGCCTGGAGAGATGCTGCTGCTGCTCCTGGTGTCAGCAGAGGGAGGCTGCAGTACCAGCAATGGGCACCGGGTGCTGCCGCAGACTGCGGCACCGGGCTGCTGCTGCGGGCTCGGGCAGGGGCATTGGGCTGGGCAGGTGAGGCTAAAGGTTGAGGAAACTCAAAGGTTTCCTAAAGTTGTGTGAGAGCTCACAGCGTTGTTTTGCAATGGATTAAAACCGACGCTCTGTTTTCAGCCCGCCTGCTGGCCTTTGCTTTGGTGGGCTTTGTGTCTTTGGCATAAGGGGTGCTGTACCCCCTTCTAGGGCTTTTTTTTCTGGGTGAAATACAAATGAAAACAGGCTTTAGCAGGTGCATGTGCTTGTTTCCCCACTGGCACCCCTGGCAAGTAGCAGGGACCCTCCACAGCAAAGAGTAGTGGTGAGTGTCCTGCAATATGCAGTCCATGTTCTGCTTTGGAGTTTGATCTTTACAGTGATTTAGTGGGAAAATATATTATGGAGGAAAAAATAATGAATTTCCTTTCTGGAAAGTGGAGTTCAGCATAGGGCAGGAATAAAGGAGACTGCAAGGAGCTGATAAAGACACCCCATGGTGGGGAGACCTGCTGATGTGGGTGTACAGGACCTCCCTTGGGGTGGAAAAGCTGTAAATTGGCTAAACCTGGTGAGAGAAAGAACTGGCATAGCCTGCACATACCTTCATGCTGCTGAAATGCTTCTGTTTACCAGATAGGGGAATCTTGATTCTTCTTGCATAAAGCTAAATTCAGGAAGCTGTCTCCTGTGGGGTGGTGAAGGCTAGCTGAGCCAACCTGTGTGCTTGTAGGCAGCTCGTTCAGCTTTCACCAGCCAAACCTTGCCTCTGCTTGAGAGCAGATCGATGCTGTTGGGACAGAAGGCGTGACAAGGTGCAACTAGAGATGAGCCTTAAACCCTCAGCTCTTAGCAGATGGATAGTCCCTGGTGCTGGTACTGTGTAATGAGAATGAAGTGAAAGGCACCTCAGCTTCCCTGCCTTCACATGGCTCTGTCACTGCTGTGTTGGTGGTGGAAATATGAGAACTGAAAAGCACAGTGGGGTCTTCCTGCTCAAAAAAGGGGGGTTTAAGACATGTATGTGGTTAGTGGGAAGGGTGTCTGGGGCAGACGAGCAGACTAGTGATGTGTGGATGGGGGGGATACATTTCCGGCCTTGCCCTGTTGCTTTCAGGGTCCTTCTGTGCTGTCTTGAGAAAGTCCTGTTGTGCACATGTTTCATTCCCACTTGGGAGCAGGGGAAACAGCATTGATCCTGTGGGTGAAGGGACAGTTTGGGTGACTACACTTGCTGCTGCTGCAAGGCCTTTGCTGTAGGGTGTGGAAGGCTGTGACACTGGCTGCACGACCAGCCTGCCTGGTGTTGTCACTGCAAGGAAAGATAAGGTCATTGTGCTGCCTCCCACCCCTGCAAAGCTGGTGTGATCCTGCCTCTGTGTGCTAATTGGCTCTGGCAGGAGCTTTAGCTCAAAAGCTCTCATCTGTTTTCCTTCACAGACCTGCTTTACTTCAGTGTTTGTTCTGTGCCTGGCCCAAGGCCTCTGCTCAACCCTCTGCAACAGCAGCAAGGCAGGAGGAGCTGTATAAAGCTCAAGTGATTCTTGTGAAAGATCAGCTAGTGCTGGAAGCTCTGCCCTGAAGTCTCCATTTGCCCTGCTTGCTGCCTAAATAGTCTGATAATGGTGCTGCTGTTGGTCTTTGGCTTGATTCAGGTTTCTTTGACTTCTCTTTCCACGGTTTCTGGAAGCATGCCCTCTGCTTGACTCTGAGTCATGCTCTGTGGATTTGTAATTATCTGTGTTGCCTACATATCCATTAAGGGATTTTATATGTTAATCTCACAAGATGTATTGCTCATTTTGGTGCTTTCATCTCACCGCCTGCCTGCGAGCTCTGCCAGCAGTGTGCTGGGCTAGCTGCAGGGCAAGCAGAGGTGAGGACGGGCACTGCCCCTGACTCACTGCCTCCGCTCTTCTCTGACCCCAGAGCAGTTCCTGGCACCAGGGAGATGCTTCCAGATCGGCACCGAGCCCTGGGGCTCTCAGCATTGGCACTTTGGCTCCGCTTCCTGCACCTCTGAGAGTATTGAGTGGTTCTGCATTAGCAAAGTAAGTTTAACTGGGTGGGTATTTTAGAGCATATCAAAGGTTTAAAACAGACAAATGTGTTAATGTTGTCAGGGATTGCTGTGGTGTGAGTAAGAAACCGCGAGTTCTGTTTTATCAGCTGCAACAGTACCATGTGAATGGTGCATAAATTCAGTTCCATAAAGCCATATAGTTTATTGTATAGTTTATTGGTGGCAGAACGTACCTGAACTTGCTCAGTTTTCATATGTCTACATATCATATATCTAAAGCAGCTATTTTTTTCAGGGAGGTGTCTACTACTTCTTAGTGAACCAACCAGACCAGTTGTATCAGCCTAAGGGGGAAAAAAACTTGAGTTGACTCAAACTTCTTAAATTTTAGGATTACTTTAAAGCAGAAATGCACCTTCAGATAAAAACAAGATACTTTATTTTGTACAAGGCAATATTTTCTAATTATTTGCCTGTTTTCTTCCAGCTTCAATTCAAAATGAAGCAGTGTAGTAGCTTCTAAATGTTTGTCCCAACTCATTTATTGTTCACTAGGGAGTGGGCGTACTGCTCAGATCTAGTTACAAACCCACCTTTATCTGAAGCTCAGAATTTTTCTTTTCAAGTGCTAGACGCAAATCCTTTATTTCTTAATATGTTGCTATTTGATATAGAAAAAGGCTTTACTACACAGCTGTTATGTCTAGACACATCTGCAAGGGACTAACCAGATTTTAAAACAGCTATTGCTTTATCATTTTCATCTCCAAGGCAATTTTAATACACTTTCAAAAAATGTGTTCAGTTTGGTCCTGCTTCAAGCAATATCCATCATTAGGACAGCAGAGAGACCCAAAAGTCACACTGGCATCAGCTGTGCTTTTGGCAAGTGCTTGAAATTCTCCTTGTGCTTGCAGTTTTCACTACTCACAAATGCAGACTGGATATAGAAAGGAAGGTAAAGAGCTGGTAAACATTGAAAAAAATACAATTCTAGAGCCTTCTCAGTTTTTCCTAGGAAGCATTTTATCTTGTGATTTTGTTAAAAACTTGTTAAATTTATTCTTTCTGTACTGTACTACTGCTTGTTCTTCCAACATGTCTCAAACCTGAGGAAAACACCTGAGGAATGGTCTGGTGTTTACCCAAAGGAGCTACTAGCTTGTAACATGAATAATGTACAAAGCAGATCAATGCACTCTGTCATGACAATACCACAACACACTGCCTCCTGTGGAGCACTTAGAGTCCACCAGTGTCAGTAATACACAGATTAAGACATCCATAAGCTTTTAAGAAATGAGGGAGAAATCCTAGAGCACAAAAAAAAAATATTGGAGGTTTTGTAAGTGTTACTGAGAACATGCTCAGAAACATAACTCTGGGTGTCAGTCAAAACTGGGCTTGTTTGATTTTTATTCATCTGTGGATGTTTCCCCCAATGCTAGACAGATTTTCAGAACAGCCACTTGCCTACATATCAGTCACTTCTGCCAGACTGTCAGACTTCAGTCTTTGTTTAGAGGAAGCATGATGGATCCAACTCAAAATCCAGGGATTCTTTTTTTTTCAATGAATAGAACAAAGTTCCAGCTCTGACTGTGAAAATCCCAGTTAAATCTGAAGGTTGAGGTGTTTGGCTGAAGCATTTATACTGAGCTATGACTTCCCTCTGATCCAGGGTTTGACTTATCTCCTTTTTGAGAGGACAGTAGTGGAGAACAAAGTTTTCACTGTTAAATGTCAAATGCACTACAGGTGAAGATATGTAGTCACTAAAATCTGATGCAGTAACCTTGGTGTTTCATAACACAGAAGCCCAAATCTTCCAGGGAAGCTGAAATGGAGGGGAGGAGGAGATGTCACCCAGCTGCAGTGACTGGGGCAGGCTCTGCTCCAGGTCACCCAGCTCCCTTGCATGCAGCAGCCACAGCAGACACTGGGCCCTGAAAATGAAAGAGCTGCTCTTTTTTTTATATAAACACCTTGAAAAAAGTGTGTGAGCAGAATGGATGTGCAATTCTAATTAGGCAGTTGAAAGGGGGAATAAAAACCCTTTAAATCAAGTGTTAATGATGCACTTTCCTTTGCTGTGCCCACCACCCCACCCATAGTGCTAAAAGCATTATGCAATTTGAGAACAAGCTCCCTTTGACTTGTACCCATTATTTCTTAACAGAAGATGAATTGGTGGGAAAACTGTTTGCTAGGAGAGACATGGAAATTAATGACATGGCATTGTATGTGTCTGTGTGTGGCAAGGAAAAGTGCCAAGCTCTGCACAGACTCCTGAGAATAAAATGAGCATCCAACTACTCGCAGTATCAAAGAACCTCCTGAGCTGTACGCATTTCATAAATATGCATAAATAAAGAAGTTTGGGATGTTTGAGAAAGCTCATCAGTGTATAAATAGTTCATTTTGAAGTCCTGTTATACAACACCATCAGAAAAGGGCTGATGTCTGAGCAGTGCGGTTGAGGCCTCTCGTGTTCATCAGGAGTCCAAAAGATAATTTAGGATTTTAGTAGAGGAGATCTTGAGTGGATAATGTGTCTGGGCAATAAAGGTCCAAGGTAGGCAGTGTAGTCTGGGACTCAAACAGTGCTGTAAGCCATGACAGTCACTTTTCACCCTTCTCTCTAAAAACCTAACTGAAATTACTCATTTCTAGCTATAAGGCAGTTCTTTCAGACCTTTGAGTAGCTTATATGTAAAACATGTCCTGAGTAAGTACATAGCCCTTTTAGAGTGTGGGTGTCAGTACTTTGGCTACTTGTGTCTGTCACAAAATGTCACTAATATTACCTATACAAGAAACTCATTGTCTTCTGTGGGAGAGATCAATATTTTTCTCTTCTAGTCCCACGCTTTCTCCCTCACATCACCTTTTTCACTCCAATCTTTCTCCATCAGTCTCTCAGCCACCTTAATCTGGGTGCAGTGGTGGCCCACTAATTTTGGGTAGCGTCTATAATGACTGCTGCAGTGATGATAGAGGAATGTCAAAGGTTTCTGCCCTCTGACACCTCTTCATCCAGCACTTCTGTTTTTTTAAACAGCCTTAATGAATCAGGGAACTGTGCACTTTTTGCTCTCTGAAACAGTTTTTACCTAGGCTTCATTTTATTGGAAGAAAGGAAGTATTCAGCACTTCTCACATCAGTCTTAAATACATCCTGAAGAGACAGAGTGGAAAATTGTCTTAAACCCTTTGGCATCCACTTGCTGTCAGTTGCATGTCAAGTCAGGAATAAAAATTGGCAACTAGCTGTAAATTTCACAGTCATGCAGCAGGATTTGTGGAGTTGAATTTGCAGTTCAGTTCTTGGCTTCAGCTGTCACTGTGTACCTCCAGTGATGAGCATTCATGCCACAGTGAGATATTAGACTTGTCAGATATCCAGAGCTTACAGAAATAACTTCATTTTTAAATGGACTGTCTCTTTTGGTATGAATAATCAAACAGAACACCATACAAAATACTTGACATGTACTGGGAGTCCAGTACAGTCTGCCACATGAAAATATTTGGAATACCTCAGACTAGTCCATTTATTGCTTCTACAGAGTTTCACATAACAGTAAGAAGAGCTCTGTAATTAAGTTACACTTGTCTTTGATCATTTTAATGCTCTTTTGTTTAACAGATTGTGAAAAACACTGTGAAATACATCTCAGGGAGCTTAATATAGTCTAAATGGAAACTGAAATTAAGGGAGAACAGGGCTTTAAACTTTTGGTGTTGATGGTTATTGCCAAGGCTTTGGAAATATCCCCTATTGAAATGGAGAGACAGAATGTCAGCAGAGGTGTTTTCCTCTGAACCTATGAGCATAAAACATTTTTGTTGCTAGTGAGAAAGGTATCTTAACAGCTATGTTAAATTTTGGTTGTTTGGCACCACAGATGATGTTCTATAATCTAGGCACAACCTAGAGAAGTCCCCTAGTACAGACACGAGCTGTGCTGCTTTGGCTGAAGTCCCACCCGGTCCCCAGCAGTGGCTAAAGGAGTTCTGTAGGCTTGGCTGCTGCATGTGTGCTACCCGATTTCATAGGCACCTGTAATTTGTGTTAAGGCATATTATGGCTTCCTAGCCTATATCCTTTAGCACCTGACTATGGACTGTGTTCATCAAGTTGTCCAATTCCTTTCTAAACCTGCTGATACCACCTGCCTCAACTGGGAATGTTGGCAACAAATTCCAGATCATTACCTGTCACTCTTAGCAGTTTTAAGCCACTCTCCTATTCGTTTGGGTAAGCCCTTGCTCTAGTACTGTGAGACTTGGTGAATGTTAGTTTTGTGCTCTCCTTATTTACGGCTTTGTAGTTTTATATACCTCAATCAAGCCAAGTAAATTGCTGCAGCATTTTCCAAAGACAGCCAGTGAAATACACAGGCTTCTTTTGCAAAGCTATTCAAATTGCAAGACCAGTTTTCAAACATAAAATATGATAAGGAAAACAATATCAGTCATAAAAGACAAAATGACTTGTCAGCAACCGTTATGAGTTACCACTACATCCAGACCATTCTCATATATTCCAGTTCAGTTTATAAGATATTTAAAAGGGGATTGCACATCTGTTTCAGATTAGCACGTACTTTGAAATTCTGGGATGAAATCCTGGTGTTACTGAAATCAGAAACTGAGATTCTTTTTTTTAAAGTCCCTTGTATAAAGCGAAAGAAAGGAGCACAACTTATTCACTATAAAACTTCTGTTTGTAGACCACCTTTGAGCAAAAAGATATGGGCACATGTTTAAATACATTCCCTTGGTTCTGTTTTCTCCATCTGGCTGGCTCAGAGTGTTCTAGAGGTAATTCAGGTACAATGCCTTGACATTCTTTAAATAGAAAGATATTCTAGTACTATGTATATCAATCCTATATCTCAAAATTGATACTACTGCAGCCTTTCTATTTAAAATCCATGTAAGAGTTCCCTGTTCAAACCCCATGGAGTGTATCTACACTGGAAGTACATGGGTGAGTCAGCCTTCTAGTTCAGAAATTGGCTC